TCACGGCTTGGCTAAGCTTGTAGTTCACAGAGACACGTGAGAGAGAGAGTTTGAAGGATTCAGATTTCATATAACACCTAAACCCACAGCTTGTACCACACACGCAGAGCCTAATTCTCCTCTCTGAGCTTGGAAGTCACAAACATATCACCAGCCCTCATCCCTTTGGGTGAACAAATTTCTTTCCTTCTTCCAGATTCTCCCATGGAACTAGTAGACTTTGAAACAGCTAAAAGTACACTTCATGTATCTTTAAAATATCCACTAAGAAAGATTAGTGTAATGAGAGTTTTACAGGAATTCTCAAGGCCTAAAATGGTGCCTGAGATTCAGCAGGCTTTCTATAAACGTTTGTTCAATTGATAAGAATGAATCCAGTCCACCAGAAGAAGCCCAGTTACATGACCTGCTGGGGAAAGTCCCTTTCGGAAGTTGCATGGTTGACTGTGTGATTAAGCACATGTGTTTGAGGGGGCAGAATTCTCACCATCCTAGCCAGCCTGCCACCAAAACCCTACTTAGAGATTTGTAACAACAGCCCTTGCCACGTGAATTGGGGTGTGTGTGTGTGTGTGTGTGTGTGTAGGATGATTATTTTCTTCATTTAAGCCTATGCAAGGGCATCTCTTGTGACAATGATTGTACGCTGACTCACCTCAAAATATCTGCAGTTTTAGCTCTTGAATAACAAGCAAATTAAGAATTAAACTCTGCTACCAAAAAAGCATAGATCCCTACTCTCCACAGAGGGACAGAGTACAAATATCATCTTCATTCACACAACACAGGAAGATATACACACTCATATACATGTGTACACACACACTGCACACACTTAAGGCAACAGATGCCTCTTCCCTACCCCGATCTGTGCCAGCCCTGTGTGATATCACAGGGGCACTGGACTCTAGATGAGTCAAGCTGGAGCTTCTGGGAACACTGCCACAATGACTGCAATACCCTGAATCTTTGTAGCTTTCTGCAGAAAGAAAAAGCTTTGGCCTGATGATGATGATTAGTTTTTCTACTCTGCAGCAGCCAGGTGACTAGAATTCAGCCTGATGATAGCTTCTGGTAATTCCTGGAAAGAACAATGGTGTTTTTTTTTATGATCAGCAGAGCCCTATACTTGGCCACTCCACTTCCACCTCCAGGGCTCTGCTAAAATGTTCTTGCGGAGGTCACCAGTGATGCCTATTTGCCAAACTGCATATTTTTTCTTCAGTCTCCTTTTACCCCAACTTCTTAACCCACACAGACTGCTAGCTATCCACTAAATCTATCTACTTTTCCTCCTGGGTACCTGGCTAGACTACATGTCCCGGCTGTCCTTGCAGTTAGGTGTGCCTGCGTGATTGGGTTCTCACCAGTAGAAGAGCTATGTGCTCCTTTCAGGCCTGGTATTATGCTTGATGGGTTCTGCCTCCTCCTTTTGCTCCTCCAGCTCTTTTCCTCTCCTGGTTATCTGGTATGGGGATCTACTCTCAAGGTGACCCCAAAAAGTAAGGATTAAAAATGTATAGTTGCATCAACCTGGGTTCCCAAATAACTTCCTGGAGCAGAGCATGCCCCCAACATACACACACACACAAACCCTGAACTGGACTTTTACAAAGAGTGGTAAACTTTTTGTGGGGAGCCACTACAGATGAGCCTATTTGTTACCACAAGAACTATCCCTGATTTCTTGAACTGTATTTTTCTTTTACTTCCATGACACTACTGTCTCCAATCCTCCTCCTATCTTTCTGATCATTCTGTCTCACTCTTTAAACTGCCCAACTCTTAGACTGGGGAATTTTCCCCAGGCCCTCTCATCTTTCCTCTTCTCACTTTACATGTTTCTCTGGAAGGCTCTTTCTTCCGCATGGCTTCACTTACTATCAGTCTGTTGATGGTCTCCAAATTTATCTCTATTCCTTATTTCCAAACTCGCTCGCTTCTGCCAGAAAACTTCCTCATCGCCTGCATTCTCCTTAGTCAACTCCTCCAGGACCCCGACTTTAGGGTAACTTTAACCCCCCCTTCTCTCTAACTTCCCATCCCTACTCAACTACTGAGACCTAGTAAGTGTACTTCAGAAATGTCTCACATGATGCCCCTCCCTCACTGAAGTCTCTCCCTCTCTATTCTACTGCCTTAGTTCAGACGCCATCATTTCTTCATCTCTGCAACAAGTCTCCAAATGTCTCACTACTGCCTTTTTCTCCAGCCAGTTCATCGTAACCTTGGTCAGAATTCCTGAACAGTCCACTCGTACACATAAAGACCTCTCCTGGATCTCTATTGTCATTTTAAGTTATAATATTAATAATAATGATAGCTATCATTTAAGGAGGGCTTCCTATATGCCAGGTACTGTGCTAAATGCTTTACATTAACATTTATCTCCTTTAATTCTCTAGACAATTGTTGAGGTGGACACTGTTATTCTCCTCTTAAAAATGAAAAACCACTGAAGTAGTATATGTAACTTGCTCATAGTCACAAAGTTATTAAGTAGTAGAGCTAAATTCAAACATAGTTTAGTCTGATTCTAAGACCTATGGGCTTAACTACCATGCAAAACTGCCTCTAAGTTACACCAATCTTGTTAGTATGGTACATGAGGGCCTTTAAAATCTGGCCAAAACCAACCTCTTCATCTTCATCTCTGCTCCTTACATTCTAAGAACTAGACCCTTGGAACTTGCTACCGTTCCTCAAATGCTTTGCCCTTTCAACATTAAAATTACTGGCCAAGTATGGTGACTGGTATAGGCAATGCTCAAAACTAGTTTCCCTCTTCCACTCCTTCATCACTGCTACTCATATACATTCTGTTTCTTCTGCTTGTAATTTCTCTTCCCCTTTCTATGCCCAGCACATTCTGAATCAGGTTTCAAAAGTCAGTTGGACTATTTCCTCCTCCCCTGTTAAGCCTTCTAGAGTACCCTAGGAAGAGTCAGTTTTCTGCACTGCTTTGCTCCCATAGCATAACTTTAACTCTTTCATTATGGTCTTTAACCCCTCATATTGCAATAAATCTATCTATAAGCCTATCTCTTATTAATCTACTATGAACTTGTTAGGGTGGGGAAATGTCTTATTCACCTCTGAATCTACAGCCCCTAGTATACATAAAAAGTCCTCAAAATCACTGCTGAATGAATAGTATTTCAATGAATGATATAAGCATATTTCATACATGCTCTCATTTCTTTAGTTAGCTCTCCTGAAATCTAATTCTAGCCCCTGATATTATTTTACATAATTGAAAGTGGAATGAGAAATATGCTAAGCATGACAAAAATCCCTCAAAACGGTTTAGAGTTGTGCTAACCAATATGGTAGCCACTAGTCGCATGTGGCTAGCAAGCACTTGGAATATGGTAAATGTGAATTGAGATATTCTGTAAATATAAGATAAACACAAGATTTCAAAGATTTAATTTTTTAAAAAGAATGTAAAATATTTCATTAGTAATTTTTACATTTATTACATACTTCAGAGGTATTTTGGATATAATGGGTTAAATAAAATATACTATTAAAATTAATTTCCTTTTGCTTTTCTAATGTGACTACTAGAAAATTTTAAAATTATATATGTGGCTTGCATTATATTTCTGCTGGCCAGTACCAGTTTAGAGTTTATAATTTTATGAGGGTAGTCAGTGTGGTTTGGGTAGGCAAACACTGGCCTGGTGAGTCAGGAAACATTTCTTTCTCTATTTCTTCCAAAGCCACATACCTAAGGCAAAAAGGAAAGAAAGAAGGAAGGAAGGAAGGAAGAAAGGAAGAAAGGAAAGAAGGAAGGGAGGGAGAGAGGGAAAGGAAAAGAAGTTACATTTTAACAAACAGCTCAGTCAACAAGTTAATATATCACATGACCACATGTTTGGGGAATCAAAAAATCAAAATCATTATCTTTTCAACTTAATTCAACCAATAGTTATTCAGTCTCCTTTATATGACAATAATTTCTTAAGCATTAATCAAACACGGAGAAGGCCCTGGCTGTGTCTAGAATTTAATACAAATGGGAAAAAATATTAAATGATAGCTAATACACTAGGAACCTTCTAAGGGAAGGCATTATCCAATAGAACTCAGAATAAGAAGGGACTTATATTTTATTAATCTATAATAGTGACATTTATGAGAGGCCACCTCAAATTCTTACTGAAGAGAGCTAGAGAAGAAAGAGAAGGAGATACAGACAGGAAAGGAATGGACAGGAAAAAGAAGGAAAAGAGAAGAGAGAAAAGGAAAGGAAAGGAAAACAGAAAAACAAAAAAGTTCAGAGTCCACACTCTCAATTTATAATGATTATTTAAGTTTATTTTTATTAGGATAAAGACATTTCTACCACATTTGGCTCTGTGGTTCTTAGAGATCTTCTAGTCTAACTTTTAGCTAATTATTTAACTCTGATCTGACAACCTCAACAAATCAATGGAAGCCAAGCTTTGAGAATTTTACTATTTTCTAAGTTCAGTCATCAGTATTAATAAGGTCTGTATTGTAATTATATTCCACAGTCAATTGTTTAAATTTCTTGGTAGCAGAAAGAATTATATAATTGTCATTGCTATTTTACATGAGGTTCATTTTATAGTAATTATAATGTCAGTAGTTTTATTGTTATGCAATAACATCTGATTGCTATTTACTAGATATTTCCTATGCAGGTTATTATAACTATAGCATGGTATAGTACAAAAAGTAATGGTCAGAAAATTCAGAGATTTGGGCTTTTGTTAGCCTGGGCCTTTGTTTTTCTTCACTTCCAAATCAAGTTGTAAAAATTACGGCTCTCAACCTGCCAGATTTGTTGCAAAAGGTATTATTATTTCATTTTTAAGATAAAAAGTATATAGTTCTTTCATGTAATCCAAAGCCACAATGCTCATTCCCATCTCAGATACAAAAGCCTTCAAAATTATCTATAGTTTTCCTCAGTGTTAATAACCTGAAATTGCTATTGTGGAATCAAAGCATGAAAAATATTTCCTCACCATTCTTCATCTGTTCAACCTCACAGAAGTGCGTTCCCGTGGGGGTGTGAATAAATGCGTGGACATGCTTAACTCCATTCTGAAAATTAGAAAAACAATTGTTTCCAGTAAAATTTCAGCATATGTCATAAAGTCAATTTCTTTAATTAAATTGAGAACACAAATAAGTGAGGTAACCTTTTCAAAACGCTTCCAAGAGACTTCTTCCATGTAGACTTGAGCTCGGATGACATGGTTAAAAGAAGAAAGGAAGTGCTCACAGATACTCATAGCAAAGGCTTCTATGCTTTTGATCTGTAAAAAGAAACAAGATGTTAACGATCAGAAATACTTGCCCCATTTGAAAATAATTTTTAAATACCCATGGAGCTCTCTTTCCTGATCAAGTGCTTTTTAGCATCAGAGAAACAGGGACTTAGACTCTTGAGAGATGAATTCGTCCTCATCCCAATTTTTCACAAGAGTTCCTCAGTGTAGTTAATCGATCGCCATCATCAGGTGACTCTATCCTGCTTTTAAAAGAAAACTGTTTTACAGGAGAGGATGTGTCAATCAACAGATGAGCAACAAGCAACTTAACGTTTAGATTCTCCTCAGGGTGGGCTCAGTCATCACCTACAGCAACTACAGTACTCAGTATACTCCATAATACTCTGGCATCTTTATGAGGTTGGCAAATAGACGTCCCAGTTTCCTAAGGAAAAATGTTAATGAAAGGCCACTGCAGCCTTCTTGCCTTGCAAACAGGCCTTTGACCAACCCCAGCTCTTCACCCGCATAAAGCATCTCCTTACTTCCACACAAATTTTCCATATTAATCTCTTGGCAATATTTTATGGTCCTAGCACAGCCTACAGATTATTTATGGCTTTGCTTATAATTAAGGTGGACTATTTGTACAGGTTTCCCCAGGATAGTTCTGTTTTATACCTATTGTCCTATAATAATAATAATATATTATTATTATTTATAATAATATATTATTATTATTATTATATTTTCAGAGGGAAACCAGCTGGGATGTGTTTTTCAGGGGCTGGGTAAAGGGGCCACCAGGCCTCCCAACGCTGGTAGGCAAGGACCCCCTAAATCTGACTTAAGTTAGAGATTGATTATTTAGAGACTAGCTGAGCACCAGTTAGAGATTGGGCTCTCTCTACCACTCTCTCTTTTGTTTTTAAGATTGGCACATCTGTTGCCCACTGTCCTTTTTCTTTTTCCTTCTTCTCCCGGAAGCACCCCCAGTACATAGTTGTATATTCTAGTCACAGGTTCCCCTGGCTCTGCTATGTGGTATGCTGCCTCGGTGTGGCTTGATGAGCGGTGCCATGTCCGCGTCCAGGATCCAAACCTGGGAAACCCCAGGCCGCTGAAGCAGAGTGCATGAACCTAACCACTCGGCCATGGGAGGCCCCCAGCATAATTATTAACAGCATCTTATTTCATTCCCAAAATTTTCTTGGTTTGGATAAGAAATTATATTGTCAGTCTATCTATAATGAATGAATTTAAATTGTTTTTAACATCCAGGTCCATTCCTTCACTTTGATGCACCTCTCACACAGTACAGGAAATATAAGAAGCAGTGTTACCTGGCCCTCTTCAATAATGCAGTACAGAAGCCTATTTTCAATTTTTTTTAAGAGAGCAATGCCTTTTCCATAGCCTTGTCTATACTTGCTAGGCCATTCTGATTAGCAAGAGAACGTTCAGGGTGGAGATAGGCCTTACAGAAATTAAATTCAATTAGTTTGTTCATTTCATGCATTATGGGTGTGGATTTCAGGCAAAAGCATGAAAACCGAAGCTCTGTCTTTTTAGACTTCTTAGCAAATAAAAAAATGATCTTGAATTGCCCAGAAATCTGCTACTGGTCCAGCACAGCTTCACTCACACTTAAACCTAAGGTGGAAGTGCTCGAACATCAGATTCTATCAGATCTGAGACCCTTTTGAAGAGTACAACTAACTCCACATGTGGATACTAACTGGGGTGGAGTTGGGAAAATTAGGAAGGCATTAAATGTTGGACAAATAGATTTCAAAATATTTCTTATACTAAAGATTTTCTTCTATAGTATCACCAGGAAGAGAAATGGTACTTTCTTCGTCTATAAATACACACCATTCTAAAAGAAATAAATAAATGATACAACAAAGAAATGCATGACAAAAACGGGTTACATTCTATTCTGAAATCCTCAGGGCCTTGATCTTCTGATGATCCTAAGTAAGAGATAACATGTAAATTTGTTAGACAGGATTCTCTACCTAAAAGATGTTGTAGTGAGTTGAGAATCAAGAAAAGAACAAAAAGGTGAGTTTTAAAAAAGCAAACTTTTCTATAAGGCTGAGAATAGAAAAGGAAAAGTTTTAAATAGCTTACTGTAAAAATAGGGTTAAAAAGTAAAGGGAGCTTGAAATAAGCAAGTAACATCCTCATGCTATTGTATAGGGAATTGTGCATCACAATAGGCAGCATCTAAGAAGAAGGACGCATACCCCCTTGAACTTTGCCAAGACGTGAACTGTGTTCTTGATGGTGTCTGTAGGGATGATGTCTGAGTTATCCCCATGGAGATACTCTTTTTTGGAGCTCAGAGTAAGTTGCACTGAAGCTGCCACCTCTTTAATGCTGTGATATTTTCCATCTCGCTGAATATGGAGAAGTTTTATCATATCCTTCCCGTAGCCAGTTCGGACAAACTCCACCTCATCATTCTGCAATGAAAACATAGTTATCTTATTGAAGAAGGCTAAATGAAAGCAACAAGTCAACCACCATTTCTTATGCCTTAATCTTATCACATAATTATAAAAGGTGAGAGTCATAGTATTCATGAGACATTTCTACCATGAGACAGAGGACTCATTTGAAGAATGGGAGAAAACAGATGAAAATATATCAGATTGGCCTGAAGACAGGCAGGTAGATGGATTTCTTGATAATAATAAGTAATAATGATAATTATAATTACCTCCTGGGCCAATCTATTTACTCTATCTTATGTAATCCCTGCTCACTTAATCCTTATAACAGCTCTGTGAACTAATATTATTCCCCTTTTACAGAGAGAGAAACTGAGGTTCAACGAGTTTAAGAGACTTGCCCTATTTCACATAGCTAGTAAAGGACAGAGCCAGGATTCACACTCTGGTCTGTTGACTCCAAACTGTGTACTCCTAACCACAATGTAAATTGCTTTTCTTCTATAAATTTTTTTACTATGTTAACTGGAAATAATTATATCCCCCTTTTTTTATAGAAAGTGATATTCTGGAGAAAATACCCTGTGATCAATAAAAACAATTTGAAAATTGCTTCTTCTACTGCTCCCAGGAAGAAGAGTAATTAATGACAGGGTCCAGATTACCTTCAGGAGTGCAGAGCCAGGGCTGTCTGGCTGCAGAGAAAGCTATGCTTTTAGCCAAGAGACATTTAATAAAAGCATGGTGCTTGACTCATTAGTACCCCTGTCTAAAGCTGGAGCTCTAGCTCACGAATACGTCCATCTCAGCTGCTAGTATCTACAAGACTTGTCCCTGGGCTTTGCTGGTGTTTGAGAGAAGATACAGGAGGGAGAAAAGGGAGAGAAAAATCTATTTTATTCAGTATTGAAATTGAACATTAAAATGGTAATGAAGCAAGGTGACAAAAATGAATTAGTAAATCAAAAACAGCATGCAGTGAGGGTCTAGGCAGGGTCACAAAGAAGGAGCCTCGCCTGTTAATGACACGTAGGCGATATGCTCAGTATGCCAAGGGCTGCCTAAAAACCCATTGGCATAAAAAAATCACCAGATCCTCTGGGAGGAATTTTAAAATACTAGCTAACATCAAAAATTTTTGTTATGTTCTTAATCAAAGTTGGGGTGAAGAGGTGTCATAAATGTTGGGGATAGAGCCTGGGAAGGCATGCTGCTATTGGCCACTGAACACACCCTGAGGGTGCGCAGTATCTGAATTCAGTCCTTCCTTTGTGGGAGGGACACATTTAAAGGGAAACTCTTGGAGGGGCCTCCCAGGAGCCTATGACTCAGTCTCTGGGGGACTCATCTTCAGGAAAAGTGTCAATGAGAAAACCTAAAGAGCAGACTTAAAGAATCCTAAGAACTATAATACTGACAGGGAAAGAGGCACTGTTGTGTGGTTGCAGTGGCTTTGGAATCAGACTAGGTCCAAATTCTGCCTTGCTACTTATAGCCTTGTGACTTGCAACAAATAATTTGGTGTCTCTGAGCCTCAGTTTCACCATTTGTACAAATGAAGATAACTCTTCCTACTTGTAGAGTTGCTTGTGAGTGTGAAAGGCCTGGTTCAGTCCCCAGTACCTAGCGGTGCTGGGAGGTCAACCCCAGCAATAGTGGCCATGTGAGGCATGGCTGTGGGATGCAGCAGCAGCAGCAGAGATAGCAGAGGGGACCTTGAGTAAGGGCATCCATTTTTGGAGTGGAGAGCACTGCTGACAGCAGCAGGAGGAAGACTCTGGCATGTCTTGAGCCACAAGGGACTCTACCTGGGGGAGGGAGGCACTTTGCTTGCTTGGGGCCCCTGGATGGCGTGGACTGAGATCCAGGACCAAAGGTCTCTGGGATCACCCATCATTCCCAGCACACATGAGGACTCAACACATGTTACTCCTCAGTCCCATCCTCTGCCACTAAATACCCAAGCTATAGTACGTTAGTCTGTGAAAGGAAGTGGTATCTTTGTGATACATAGAAAGATTAAATGATAGCCACCCTTACTATTCCCACCACTGTTCACCTCTCCAGCTTCCCATCTTGCCACACCCTATTTCAAACTCATCTTCAGCCATCCTGAGTTAATTGTGGTTGCCCAGGCTCTGCATGCTTTCTTTGCCTGTAGGCCAGATTTGCTACTCTTTCTTTCTTGAACACCCTTTCTCTTCCTCACTACCCAATCACCAAACTCTTCACCTGCCTAACTTCTTCTAGTCATCCATCAAGTCTCAGATATCACTTCCACCAGGTAATCTGCCCCAGACCTTCAAGTCTGGGGTAGGTGCCCCTTCTATGCACTCAAAATACTCCATTATTGCCTTATCAGAGTCTTTATCAAATTGTATTGCGATTGCCTCTTTATCTGTCTGAGTCATTCAAAAACAGTAAACTATGAAAGCAAAAACAATTTCTATCTTGGTCACCATGGCAACCCCTGTGCTCAGCACAGTGCCTGGAACATAAATAGGTGCTTAATAAATGTGTCATGAATGAATGGATGGTGCACCACTATCTCCACCGCTTGTGTGACGACATAGAATAGTTAATGAAAACACCCAAAAGATTTCAATACAGGAAGCGCTGCTTCAGCTCAGACCCCAATCAACAAGCTCCTCTTCCTGGGAAAGTGGGGAAGGCACCTTCCGCCCTCTGATCACCACAGCCTGGAGATCACAGGCACAGCTGGCCAGAGAACAAAGGCCCAGGAATGGTAGAATTGAGTATAGAGAGAGTCAGTGATGCAGCACCAAGTGTCCATGTTGTGAGTGAGACAGAGTGTCCAGCAAACTGTAGCTGTCCTGGAATTCATGCAGGAAGGTCAGCACTCCTTAGCAAGCTCCTGACTAGGCCTTCGCACTCAAGCAAAGCTTGAGTAATCAGGTCTACTGAGAAATGAGTCAGAAAACAAAAAAGACATAAACATCTGAGGCTGGAGCAGGATGAAACAAGAACAGGGTGGGACACCAGGAATCGCTCAGCAGGACCTGACAGAACAGATAATGGCCCAGACCAGAACCGAGGCTCTTTTTCTCAATAAGACCACCCCCAGTTCTGTAGTCAGAAATATCAGAAGTAGGTGCCAGCACCCTATTGTGTAGAATGCACAGTATGGTGCAGAGATCCATGTCCAAGATAACTGCACAGTAAAATATGAAGGTCACTCTCATCTGGAGGGAGGGCAGGTGGCTGAGAAGATGGGCTCTCGGCTCTGGACTCAGGCAGGCCGGTGTGAATCTGTGTTCTGCTACCTATTAGCTCTGTGAATGGAGGCAAATTTCTCCACCTATAAAATGGGAATAATAGTAGTGCCCATTTCTCAGGATTGCTGTGAGGACTACATGAGAAAAAACATAAAGCACTTAGAAAACAACCTAGTAAGTGTTCAATAAATATTAGCTGTAATTATCATTGATAAATAATAATTATATGTCAAATTTTGCATCAAAGGGTCCTTCCAGTCACCATTAGAGATAAATATCGAGACTGTAGACCAATCCAGAGCCAGGGGCTGAAATCAAACACTGCGGCTATGATGAGGCCTACTCCTGCCTTCACACTTTGGTTGTCTTTCCTCAGGCTTGTGTGGCTTGAGGAAACAAAATTACAAAAGGAAACTAAATTTCTGAGAGTAATACTCTAGACAAAATACCAACAGGAATCAATCTCCACCTGGCCCTACACAAGAAAAATCTCCTTTTCTTAGACATGTCTTGAAATATAAAGGGATGGAGAATCATTACTTGCAGGCAACAAGAGAGTTGGAGCTGGAGAGAACTCAGAGATTTTAAGTGAATCTTAAGAATTTTCACTTCTGCAATGAGATAGTGAGTGTTGTCTTATTTCCAGGGCCACATAGAAAGTGATGTAGGTTGTCACTACAGGTCCAGGGGTTCTTAGCCTCAAGTCTGTTAACCTATAGAAAGCCCAGTGGATGTATCTGAAGCAGAAAAATATTAGGAAAAGTTTTATAAATTTAATAATAAAATGATTAAGGGAAAACTTCTATAAATTTAAATTTTAAAATGACTAGAATTTTCTCTTAAGTCATCATCTCTATCTTTCATAAAAGAGAAAAATACAGAAGTGCTAGCTATTTAGAACCCATCACACAACGCATACATGTACCAGTTCAGTTGCAGCGTGCTGTGATAGATGGAAGAAATGTATATGAGACAGCCTCTCTCTCTCTGTCCTTAGAATGTGGCTGGAGAAGTTCTTCCAATTCTCTGCCCAGGTTTTTCCTTTGCCTGGCTATTTTCTTGGGCATTCACGAACAAAATGCTGAACTAATAACGAGAAAAAGCAGTACTCATATGAACAATCTTAGTATCACTTTAGTGGATCTTAACAATGCATAACAACAAGAACAACAATGGTGACTAATATGGGCCAGCCCCATGGCTGAGTAATTAAAGTTCCGTGCCCTCTACTTCAGTGGCCCAAGTTCATGGGTTTGGATCCCAGGTGCAGAGCTACTCCACTCATCAGCCATGCTGTGGAGGTATCCCACATACAAAGTAGAGGAAGATTGGCACAGATGTTAGCTCAGGGATAATCTTCTGCAAGCCAAAAAAAAAGAGAGGAAGATTGGCAATGGATGTTAGCTCAGGGCAAATCTTCCTCACACACACAAAAAAAAGGTGAATAATAACCATGGAGGCAGCTGGTATTTTTTGGCTGCCTATGATCTACTAAATGTCAGACGGAAAAATATTGATATCTAGTAGAAACGTCATGTTGCTTTAGGCTGTAGAGTGGCTTATTTTTGCTATCAAGGGGGGATATGCCCTGAGTTATGTTCAAAGTGTGACTCCAGGGGCCGGCCCCGTGGCCAAGTGGTTAAGTTCCCACGCTCTGCTGCAGCGGCCCAGGGTTTCACGGGTTCGAATCCTGGACGCGGACATGGCACTGCTCGTCGGGCCACACTGAGGTGGCATCCCACATGCCACAACTAGAAGGACCCACAACTAAAAATATGCAACTATGTACCGGGGGGCTATGGGGAGAAAAAGGAAAAATAAAATCTTTAAAAAAAAACCCAAAGTGTGACTCCAAAGGGATTTGTCAAGCAGATGTTTCAAGAACAGTACAACAACTCATATGCATAATATTGGTAGAAAGAAAGGGTGACCTGTTACTTAATGAAGATTCCATTTACAGGTACTCACTTATTTTCATACTTGTGCCTGTTACAAAGGAAGAGAAACTCATCATAAAATGCCAGGGGAAATCCCACCCTGCTTGCCAGCCCCTCCACAGCACCAATGGCCTTAGGACAGGGAACTGGACCAAGGCCCTCAGGAGCCTCTAGGATTGGGGGCAGGAAACCTCACAACAAAGAATTGATGGAGACCTCCAAAAAATATGGTTGGAAGAAAATTTTATGGAAATGCATATATTGAAAGATGTCTCTTTCCTAATGCTTAGACTTGAAAATAAAAATAACAGTAGCAACCGTTTAGTGAGGGTTTGATATGTGTCAGGAAATTTGCAAATATTATTTCCTCTAATCCTTTACAAGACCCCTGTGAAGTAGGTATTATTATCCAAGTTTACAAAGGAAAACACTAGGATTAGCTAACTTGCCAAGGTCACACAGTTACTAGGTGAGAGAGGCAGGAGGAGCACCCAGCCCATTTGCCCCCAAATGACATGCTCTTTCCTACTATGTCACAGTCCCTATACCCCATTGATGGCCAGCCCCTCCACTCACTAGGGAGAGAGAGGAAGCATTCTAATCCCAACAAGAGGAGAGAAAAGGCCATGCTACTCCAGAAACTTGCATTTCTATATCATTTAATTTTAAAATTGCAGGTCCACCCATTGGGACCTACATTATCTTATCTATTTCTCTCAAAAACCCTGTGATTTGGCAGAAAGAATCCCTATTTTTAAAAAAACTAGCTCAGAGATGTTAAGTGAGCTGCCCAAAGTCACATAGCTGACAGACAGACTAGGATAGTGGAAAAAGCCCTGCTAAGATTGAAGAGTCTTATTCTATTTACACTACACTATGCAGAACTTAACACTGAGAAATGCCCCTTGCCCAATCTATCACTTTTTCTAGCATTTCAGTCATTTTTTTAAAATTACAGGAGAATTCTAAGCTTAGTAGATTCTGTTTATTGCAGGAACGGTTAAGCTGTGAAGTAAGGGGAGAATCAAAGGGTGATTGCCCTTTGGGGCAGGATGAAAATTCAGCTTCATGCCTTCAACAACAGAGCATTATGTTTGAGGTGAACATTGACTTTTATCTGGATTAGGACCATTGAAAACATCAGTGACGTAGGTTTATTTGTAGCCATTAGAATCCTATCACCAAAGGACTGTTTTCAGTCCATCTGCAAGGATAAGGAAATAGCTGTATCATGGAAGAAAAGAAAACAAGGTGGGAAGGAACGAGCATTCAATGAGTGCCAGTTATGTGCCAGAGGCTATGCACACAGCATCTCACTGAATCCTGACACCATTCTGTGAAGGTACAGATCATGAGTCCGACCTCTAGAAAAGGAAGCTGATGATCTTGAGGTTAAATGGTTTGGTCAAAACCACATGGCTAATGAGAGGCAGGGCCAGACATGCAAACCAGATCTGCCTGAGTATTTTTACTATAACCAGCTGCCTCCCTGACAGAATATTATAATGAAGTTCTTTATAATGCGATTTTACCTACGTACCCACTTTTATTTATTTATCTGATTAGATTTAATTCACTCTAAATTCCTCATAACCCCAAAATAGAAGTCTCTGAAAACCTTTTTATTCAATCCACACATTCACCTATATTTATTTAGCTCCTTCTCCGTGAGAAGCACAGTGGTAAGTGCTGGAGATACAACAGCAAACAAGGTAGACACTGTTCTGCCCTGATAGAGATTGTACACTAGAACAAATTTTCAGTAAAGAATCAGAAAGTTAGTACTTTTGGCTTTGCAGGCCATATAATCTCTGTTGCAACTACTCAGCTCTGCCGTTACAGCATAGAGTAGCTATACATAACACATAAATGAATGGGTCTGGCTGTGTTCCAATAGAACTTTATTTACAGAAACAGGCAATGGGCCAGATTTGGCCCACAGGACTGTTGACCTTTGCTCTCTTGATGAAGCCTCAGAAAAGCAACCAAGTAATTAGAACACACCGCAATAATTATTCTAATTGAAAAAGTACAGTGAGCTCAGGGACTACAATGCACGGACACTGAAGCCAAACTGAGATAGAGATCAAGGATGGCTTCCAGGAGGAATTGGCATCCACAAAGCCACCTGAACAGGGAGTAGGAATTAACCAAATAAAATTTTCTGGCCCTCTTCCACTTATTCTACTTATGTTTTCCTTTGACCACATATCTTATGAACAATTCTTTATTTTACAAATACCTGCGTCATTTTGCTTGTCTCATCCCTTTTCATCAAAATAATTTGTCTCTTCCTCTTGCAACAAATACATCAACTTTTTCCTTCAGTTGTTCACATGCTAGATTTTACTCCATAGTACATCAACAGTCTTACAAAAGTTTGAAAAAAAATAATTTGAACTTAAACAGATAAATTTTATGTTATATAAACCATACCTCAAAAAGCTACTGAAAATAAATAAACAAAGCCAGCAGCCTGACTCCCAGGAGTCCTCACAGGATGACTGAACTTTAATGAAACCAGCACAGACACGGGTCTGGAGAAACCCAACTTTATCTCAATCTCAAAAAATTCTCACAGGTAAAGCTTCAGAGAACATGAACTCACAGGCAAAAATCAAAAGTACACATGGTAGCAAGGTATCATGACAGAGAGTTATGGAAAACAACAGATAACAAAGTCTGATCTGCAAAGATTTCAGATATTGAAATTATCAGACACAAAACACAAAATCATATATTGTATGATATATATGATAAAATCATATATTGTGTATTTTATAGAAATAAAAGAGAAGATTGAGCATATCTTCTTGAGATAGAGCATAATTTCTCTTGAGCAAGAAGCAAAGAAGCATAAAAAGGATGAAGTAAATTTGAAAAAGAACCCAACAGAACATCTAGAAGTGCATTAACAAGTGAATTAAGAAACAGATTAGGGGCCGGCCCAGTGGCGCAGCAGTTAAGTTCGCACGTCCTGCTTTGGTAGCCCGGGGTTCGCCGGTTTGGATCCCGGGTGCGGACACAGCACCACTTGGCAAGCCATGCTGTGGCAGGCATCCCACTATAAAGCAGAGGAAGATGGGCATGGATGTTAGCTCAGGGCCAGTCTTCCTCAGCAAAAAGAGGAGGCTTGGTGGCAGATGTTAGCTCAGGGCTAATCTTCCTCAAAATAAATAAATAAATATTTTTTAAAAAGAAACAGATTAAACACAACTGAAGAAAGAATTATTTATTTGGAAGAGATAGATTAATGTTGCCAAAGAGGGAATTAGAGAACTGAAAGATAGATCCAAATACAGAATCAGGGATTAATGTGTATGCACAGGAGATAGAATATATGAAAGAAACATAAAATATACTAGAAAAATACACCGAGATTGTGGAAGAGGCACAATTCAAAGATATCAAGACTGAGATTTTCCAGAATTATTGAATGAATGAGTGCAACTCTTCAACTGTAGAATAAGAAGCCCACTGCCAAGCGAAGCACTCTTCCTTCTTCAGTATATTTGGCCAAGTTACAATGAAGACACTTTCTACTATTTTAGAGGTAATCATGTGAAGGTGACGTGGTATTTTCCATAATATTGTACTACTTGGACTTCAAAACTGGGTAATATTGTGAAAAACATTCTGTCCAGTTTGCATTTTCTCCATCCACCAAATTTACTCTGTCTTTTTCCACATTACTTTGCTGTTTTTAGTAAAAACTGGGACACACTGGAATCTAGACTTTAGGGTAATGTTGAAATCCATGGAGCCCTTCAACGTCCAGTACAGTGTTCAACACCTAGTGGCTGCACCAGGAAGTTTGTTGACTGACAGTCAGCATGATCAGGTCAGCAACAATGGAGGATAAGAAAGCTTCTTGAAAGCAACATCTGAAGGAAAGTAACCTAACAGCATTTTTCCAGACCTTGAAATAAAATTGGACTTAGCAAAATCCATCTTAAAACGGAGGTCCCCCAGCCCAACCACAGAAAGGGCTCAAGTTGTAGTAAAAATCATCTTAGCTAACATTTATGGATCATTTACTATTTGTCAGGCACTGTGCTAAGCATGTAATGAGGAGAAAGCAGGAATTATCTCATACCCTATTCAACAAATGTTCTTTAGCGTACATAAATGAAAACATGTTGCTTATATTCTCTAAATGCATCAATGAATCCTAAGCCCAGTGTACTAAGCTATCACCAGTGTAATAAAAGGTATACCACAAGACAAATAAAATTAATTTTATTTCACTTTAACTTAGAAAAGTACACTTCATGCTATGAAATGTTTTAAAAATTAATGAAAAGGTTGGGGTTGCTGAAATCCCTTTTTCTTTCTCTCTCTTTTTTTTTTGATTCTTCTCCCCAAAGCCTCCCAGTACATGGTTGTATATTCTAGTTGTAGATCCTTCTGGTTGTGGCATGTGGGACACTGCCTCAGCATGGCCTTATGAGCGGCACCATGTCCGCGCTCAGGATCCGAACAAGCGAAACCCTGGGCCACCGAAGCGGAGCACACGAACTTAACCACTTGGCCACGGGGCCGGCCCCCCCTTTTTCCTAAATGGAGTAAAAACACACATAAAACAAAATGATACCCATGGAGGAATGGTCAGGAAAATGTTTCTCGGTTTATCAATTTGGTAGATTGTGAATCTACAAGATACAGCATAGCCTTGGCCTCAGGGCAATGAGTCTCAAAGTTTATGGTGCACAGAATCACCAAAAACCTTGTAAAAAATGTAGATTTCTGAGCCCAACTGGAAGAATTTTGATTTAGCAGGTTTGGGTTGAGGCCCAGAATTTTTCCCTTTTTGCAGGCACCACAGGAAAATGTGAGCGAGTGGTCTAGAACATCCCTTAGAAAACTCTATCTTAGAAGAAATGGAGCCCCAAGCCCTCCCTTTCCTATGAACCCTGAGAATTCTGAACAACTCCAGCTCAGCCATAGAAGTGATCTGATTTGCAAGGGTCTGGTTTGGCCTGGATCCCCAAATGACTCTGATCTGGATCCATAATCAGAGGGACAGATCAGAGCCATAATGGTTTCCAGGCATGACGTACACTGCTATATATTGTGACAGCATCTTTAATAATTGATTCAAAAGCATCATGCACTTAAAGAAATTCTTTTCATGTGCCTATCTACCCCTTTCCTCCTCCAAAGAGAGAGCGGTCTTACCTTTTTACAGTCATTATGATACTGGGCCATTTTCTCTGGGCGTTTCAACTTCAGATTCAGTTTTAAGAATGAGAAAGAACAGTTTGGGCAAACAGATGTTTTTAACATTTATTTGACCTGAAGAGTGAGCAGTCAATATTTTACCTGATTGCATAACAGCCATTTGGACACCAAGGCCTCTTTAAAGTAAAGCACCATGGTGAATGGCTAAAACCAGGAGGTGGAGAGGCTATGTAAACATCTTTGGTAAAATACAACTTGCTCTTACTTTGAAGCAACCCTTTGAAGCGCCCTTTTGGAACTGCTTCCTTAAGATAGAGAATATTACAAGTAATAGATCCTAATCATTACCAAGACATAAGGTTTTGTCATTTCTGTTTAATGTGTGAACCACAAGCACTTGCTCTCACTCCCAGGGAGAATATCATGAGGGAAAAAAACATGAAATATATTTAAGTCAACATCTACTTATCATCATGGAGTTCCCCTGCCCACTGAACTTCGTACTACATGATGTTCACTCCAAAGAGTTAACTACACATCCCTTTTTTCTCTCCAGAACTTTCTGATGACTTTGCAAACCAGTCAACAATTCAGCACAAAGGCATCCAGAGTCACGCTGGCACGTTGTGACAGAATCACACAGTTACATGAGATTTGTCCCATTCTGAAAATGCCCAAACAGCGAAGAGCAGAGATAAATGGAATCAAACGTCAGAGTCAACACAGCCTGAGAGAGGCTTGAAATTCAGACTCCACAATCCATGGGGAAAGTTTCCTGCTGTGCCATGGAATAAAGGTGACAGAAAATGACAGCAAGTCTTCTAAGCACAACCCTTGCTTTGCTCCTCCTTCGCCTCCTTGGGGTCCTGGAGGCAACAACAATATCATGCAGAAATGAAGAAGGTGAAGCTGTGGATTGGTAGGTAAAAGAAATGGGAGGACTGGTGCATGCCAACAGAAAGCCAGAGTATCGGAGTACTGCTTCACTGTGAAGTTCCTAAGGAGAATTTTCACTCTGACTCTCCTCTCTAAAAAGAAAGGAAGTTAAATTGTGTAGATGGACCAAATATCCAGATAGGGGTAGGCTTCTGAGTAAGGGAGATTCCCCCAGAGAAAGAGGTGAGCAGCCATGCATGGGCCTGATTCACTGCTCTCAGCAGGGCAAGGCTGGTAGCCACAGAGGTGGGGAAGAGCTGACAACTTCTCTCAGTTGGCAATTTCCTTTAATTGCATCATGGCTTTCCAACAGAAACCTTCCAACATCCTTTCAGAGACAGACAAAGGAGAGAAGGCAGACCACCTTTTTTCTGACATTGGAGCTTGGACTTCTCCTTATGAGAATGAGAAAGAAGGCTTGATCATACACAGCACTGTATGGTTAATCTCGTTTATGAGGTAGCACAGGCAGCTATTGGAGTGGCTGGTAGGTCACTGGCTTTTTGCACAGTGTCAAAGAGAGTAAACACAGCATTGCATCATAGTCACAGATTTCCCTAAAGCTTCGATCACTTTTTCACTCTTTAATTGCCATTATGGTTGACATCAAGCTTTGTGCACACTTCAGGCTAGAGAACACAGACACACTCACTCAGTCTTTCAGCAGTTACCGAGCTCATCCCAGGAAGTGTGCTGAGTTTTGAAAATACAAATACTCAAGGAGCTCATTGCTATGTGGTAAGGGCCTAGATGGGGCACTGGGGAGCACAGAGCTCAAAAGCCTTCTCTGAGGAAGCAATTTTGAGCTAAGTTTAAAGAACAATTATGAGTTAGTTAGAAAAACAAAGGAGATGCAAGGGCATCTCAGGCCAATGAAGGAGCAATGAGAAGGTCCAGAGGCAAGAAGCAATGGAGAAAGTTCGGAAGCAGTGCAGTATTGCTAGCATTTCAGGAGAATGTGGGGAAGTGGCAGGAGGTGAATTAGAGAGACAGGTGAGGGCCAGGTCATGAAGAGCTTCATGTGCTGAGCTGCAGACTCTGAACTTGACCTTGAAAGGGAGCTACTGAAGGACTTCAGGCAGGGACACAATGTGGTCAGATTTGCATTTTCGAAAGCCACTGGCAGTACTCTGAAGGCTAGCAGGATGGGGACCAGTCTAGAGCCATAGGGACCAACAAGACCTTTGCAAGCATTACAGGTGGCAAGAGGTGTGGATCTGAGTTAAAGAAATAGCAGTGAAAACAAACAGGAAGGAACACTCTGAGAAGACTTGGTAATGAATAGGCTGAGGATCACAGGAGAGAGGGAGAAGTTTAAAAGACTTTCAGGTTGCTGGTTTCTGTGACTGTGTGGATGTGGTCCATAACAGCAGGGGATGAGCAGATTTGGAGTAAGAGTATAAATGCAGTTTCAAAAATATGAAATGGAGGCCGCTGGAACATCTTTGCATTTAGGTTTGTCTGACCTCAGCATAGAGGTCTGGGCTAGAAACAGATTTGGGACTCCTCAGCATATAATTGGAGACGGTCACCCAGGAAAAACAGAACGAGTTCTCAACTGGCATTCCATGGCACACTGATAGTTCACACACCCTTCACTGATGGGCCACCAAATTGTGATCAATATACAAAATTTATTTTTGCCACAACTGAATGGACTTATTACTTAGCCATATCCGTCAGAGAGAATGCTGAGCTGAACAGACAATGAGATAGTCTCAAGCCACTAGAACTTACTGTGAGAATTAAAGGGCAGAGTAGCACCAAGTCAGCACCAAAGAATAATTTCACGTCTCCTGCCAAATGTGAGGACCTTGCCCTGAGAGTAAGAAAGCACGGACACGGCAGGAAAGAGTTTACTTAAACAGAAGCATAAGAGAGAAGAGAACTAAGCAAAGAGGGAGAACATTTTATGGGCAGTTGAGACACTGTTTATGGTAATAAAGAGTGCATTACAGTGTTTGCTTCACCATGAGCATCTGAGGGTTGTGTGGTTTGGGTTTGTGCTATTAGAGAGTATTCAGCTGACCAGGGTGATTTTTGTCCTTAGAGGATTTTCAACAATGTCAGGAGATGTGTTTTTTTAAATTTTATTTATTTATTTATTTATTTATTTATTTATTTATTGACGAAGATTAGCCCTGAGCTAACTGCTGCCAATCCTCCTCTTTTTGCTAAGGAAGACTGGCCCAGAGCTAACATCCGTGCCCATCCTTACTCTGCTTTATATGTGGGATGCCTACCACAGCATGGCTTGCCAAGCAGTGCCATGTCCGCACCTGGGATCCGAACCTGTGAATCCTGGGCCACTGAAGTGGAATGTGCAAACTTACGTCCTGTGCCACCAGGCTGGCCCCAGGAGATTTTTTCTTTTTTTAAAGATTGGCACCTGAGCTAACAACTGTTGCCAATCTTCTTTTTTTTCCCCCCTGCTTTTTTCTCCCTAAATCCCCCCAGTACATAGTTATATATTTTAGCTACGGGTCCTTCTAGCTGTGGCATGTCCCAGGAGATATTTTTGATTGTCACAACTGGGGGTTACTATTGGCATCTAATAGGTAGAGGCCAGGAATCCAACAATGCACAGGACAGCCCCCATAACAAAGACTGATCTGGTCCAAAATGTGAATACAGCATGTTGAGAAACCATGTGCTAAATGATCCAAGAATGCCTGAATGCTATATGGGCCCAACCAGCTTTGCTCCTCGTGAGGTACCCAAAGGAGATACACAAACAGGAGACAATAGTAAAGGAAAGCCAAGTGCCTACTTAATTAGCTGGTCTTGGCCCGGAATCCTTCATGCAGAGCTTTCTGATAAACTGAGCTGAAGAATGCGGCTGAGGCCAGAGGCTTAAGGGAACCTCCACCTACCCCGAAGCCCAAATCCACCTCAGACCCAGCCAGCCAGCTGCAAAGAGATGAGCATGCCAAGCACTTAGGGCAGAAGAGAAAAATACATCCAAGACCTCTCCAGTCCAGGCCTGGGCCTTGGCCTTCTTCCCACTGAAGCCACATAGACTGGAAACAACCAAGAGAGCCAATCTCACTGTACATGTACTCCCACTACAGGGACCCCATCCACCAGGCCAATTAATGTCTTAGAACATGTCCAGTTAGATCTGCATTTCCTTCTCTGGGAAGGAACAAACATAAGGGTGAAATAAGAGGCAGAGAGCTTGAGCAAATCCCTTTCCTTAATACTTAGAGGCTTTCTGTGAAACATAGGTGAAATGATATATTTAAGTGCTTAACACAATGGCTGCCACCAGAGAAGCAGTCAATAAGTGTTAGTAACTCATAATTATTTCCTTTTTTAGGTTTATCTTTTATAAGTTACCTAAAAGGCAAGACAAGGAAAGTAGAGAGACTGGGTTAGAGTACCTATACCTAGACTCTACAACCAGAAGCTGGAGGAGGAGTAAGCAACTAATGAATACCACGAAGAGTGTTTTGGGGAGGACATTACAACAGCTGTATGAAGCATATGGCTCCAAGGTATGTTACAATTAATCATTCATTTGAATCAAAAAATGCATAAAACAGAATCCAAACCTTTCAGCAGATTTTTCCTGCTCATCCACCTACCCCCCAATCCTAGCAACTAGCTAGCTCAGAACTAGCCCAGGACAACTACCTGAATCAATCTGACGAAGACCTTAGGGAATATATCATTAGACCCAATAGCAATGCCAAATTGTTGGCATATTTGGCACATGACCAATGGTATCTCTGGGCAAAGTGTGAACTAATTGCACATTGTAGTCTTCTGGCTCCCAAACTCTGCCAATTCACTCAGTACTTGCTATCTTATCCCCCTAATGGAAATAAGGAGAAGAGCCCCCTCCTGTTACAATGCATATAGATCTGTGATCATGAGTTGTGGGTTGTTTATGCCATAGTGGTAATGAGTGGTGGTGACCCAAATAAAGGGTCCCACTCAGTCTTCCTTTTAATTAATCATTTTCAGAATGGTAGGTTGGGATTTAGGGCTCTAGATCAAGGTTCTAGAACTAACTTGCCTAAATTGAGATTAAACCTGCTATCTGGACTCATCAGGCAATGAGATAACCAGCCAAAGAGACATAGGCAAGTAGACTATTGGCTCAATGTGGGCAGTCCCTCAACGTTCCAGGCACCATCTGCTATTCGGTGACAAGACACTGCTTTCCAACCAGGAGTGACAAGTCAAATTGAACAGTAATTAACATCCAGTTACACTCATGCATTTCCTAACATCATACGCATTTCCTAACAATAACTTATGGAGAAGTAAATTTATAAAATGACTGAGCACTTAGAATGTGCTGGGCCTTTACATATGTCAACTAATTTAATCCCCACAACAATACTATGTCAGCCTCTAGCACTATTGCATATGTGTATCTGAGTATTTACTCAAAATGTACAGGTAGCTCTCACTGTGTGTGCTAATATTCACTTTATTCACCTGCCATTAAGACCAGCCTTCAGAGCCAAGTTACACAGTTAAAACTTGTTTGAGTACATGTGATGTGCCAAGCATGGTTCCAGGGTTCCAGGTACTTTTAAAAATGATGTAATCTCAGCAACAACCCTGTTTTGAATAAATAGATTATTATGTAAAATCAAAACTGCCAGCAGCTGCTTCTCCTTTCCAAGGTTGGAGATTGAGACCAGGAGAATAACCCACCAGTGAGAAAATCAGCACCTACACTGTCCCCTTCCCCATCTCAGAGCTTGCTGGAGGAGGGGGAAGGAAAGAGCCACACTGCAAAGCCTCTGTCCTTTACCTTAGTTGGGACAGACGGTTCTTAGTTTGGCAGAATATAATAATGATCTTTGGAGGCGCGAAAGTAGCCCCAGAGCCTAGGTGAGAGAAAGAGCTAAACTGCTCTGCAAAATAGAAAACGAGGAGATGGGAGCTAGGAATTAAAAAGTGTAAGAAACATGGAAGGAGACTATGGGAGGGCAGCGTGGAGATGTAAAACCACTGAATGTTTCATACCTTCAGTAAAACCTCCTCACCCAATGCCTTGAGTGATGGTTTCTGTGGAAAAAACGATAGTAAAGGGGTTGATTTCCATCTCTGACTGGCATGAAGCCAAAAGAAGAAGAGCAACAGTAGTGGGTGATATCCAAGTGAGAGTGGGTGTTCTTTGGAAGCTGGAACTAGGTGCCAGAAGTGACTGTGAGGACATAACTCCCCTATCTCCTGACCTGGAATTGAGCTTCTAACAGAGAGCAGAATGCAAGATCAGACCAATTGGTTTTAAATCCCAAATGTCAAGGTGACCTAAGTGATCTGGGTTACATTTGGAATTGTTTCCCTTCTTTGGCCTCTGCAAATAAGAACCTTCCATACACCTTCATAATAACACTTATGAAACTATATTGCAGCTGCTGGTACTTGCCTGTATTCCCTGTTAGACTGGAGGCTGAGACTGTGCCCCTCTTGTTCAACATCCAGTAGTCAAAATAATACCCAACATATGTGTTAAACGAATAAAGCTTCCAAAGGCACATACCTAGATCCACCTATTCTTGAATCCATGATCCTTCCCCCTTATCAGAGAGTCTGTCTTCACTAGAGCTACGTCCCATTTCACCTTAGCTGGCTATTACACTCCTGGTTAGAATGAATCAACTTCATCTATTATAAGCATAAAGTTCCTCCCCGAATCTTTCTAAAGCAACTCCACTTTGCATCCCAAAAGCACAGAAAGGCCTCATTACCACATTCAATGCAGGCTCACAGAATAACTGACTGTCAGAGTTCCCCAGCAGAGGATGTGAACGCCAACCATAGCTATGGTCAATCACGGAAAATGAGGGTAAAAAAACAGCTTCCTTTCCTAGATAGTCCTAAACAGAGTAGGCAAGAATGCTACACAGATTATGTTGTACATTAAAAAAAAAAAATTTAGACTACATCAAATAATTCAGCAACTGTAAGAGACTCTGTTATTGATTTTTTTTTTTCCTGCGTGAAAAGCAAGGGATGTTTTCAAAGGAATGGGTTGTCCTCTCCTGCTTTTAATTATGTTGCTGAGATTTTTTAATCAACCCTATTGACTTCAATAAAAGTCACTACTTCACGACACAGATGAAATGGAACCACACAGAAGAAATACAAGCAAGTTTCCATTACATGACTAAGAGACATTATCAAAATAATAACTTCATTCTGAGTTATCTTTCTCAGAGAGTTGGCCAATTGTTTGGAGAATTTACTTGTTTTTTGCCTTAACAGATTAAATCCAATATCACACATTCAATTTTGCTACTTTTCCTAGCAGGCAAATATCAAGTTATAAAGGTGAAGTGACACTGAGGAATGGATTAAAGAAAAATCCTCCCCTATCATGGAGGAAGAGGGAACAGAGAATGAAGAATCCTGATTAAACACAAACCTGGGACCGAGTGGTGAAGCCAAAAGAAGGCAGAGGAAATCAAACCCTAATAGCCAGTTCTGCATCGTGCCTATAACATCAATGGAAAAAAATCCAGGTGTAATCCTTGGCTGGTTGTTCCTACTTCATTTCCTGAACAAATATTTAAGTACTCCTTTGTTATACACTGGTTGCCAAATCAGAAACAAGGGTCCAAAACAACCAAGAGAAATTGGAATATGGCCCTCACAAACATATCACAATGCAGAGGGGTCCTGTCACACAGGACAAAAGCGTGTATGATTGAGAAGGAACTTCTGTCCCGTCTTGCATGTTGCAGAATTCATATTGATGGAGAAGCTGCCTATTAGGGGAATGGATGACTTCTCACGTGTATTAATGAAAGCTCTGTATTGTAGGCTGGTTAGCTGGTAGAAATGTTGTGAAAGTTTGTAAGTGGAAGATTTATGCCATTATAACCCTAATATGTTCCTGCAGAATAACAACACTGCTCATCTAATATACAACGATGGAGTCCCTAACTCTGTGAATTATAGCAGAAAGTATGGACACACTAAAGGTATGACAAAGGCTCTTAATTTCTCTTTCCTACTGGAAGTCAACATTTCCCTAAACATCCCATTTGAATATTCTTATATTCCACACTAAAAATATAGTTTTTCTTCTTAATGGTTTATTCTGAGCTATCAAAATGCATGATATTTCTATATCACAGGTTATAATTATGTAATTTGACTTGGCGATCTTCTTTTCACAAATCTCATTTTATTTCTTAACTTTTTTTTTTTTGCTTTTTGGTGGGTAAGATTGGCTCTGAGCTAACATCTGTTGCCAATCTTCCTCTTTTTCTTTTTCCTTTTTTTTCTCCCCAACGCCCCAGCACATAGTTGTATATCCTATTTGTAAGTCGTTATAGTTCTTCTATGTGGGATGCTGCCACAGCATGGATTGGTGAGTGGTGTATAGGTCTGTGCTCAGGATCTGAATCAGCGAACCCCAGGCTGCTTAAGTAGAGCATATGAACTTAACCACTGGGCCATGCGGCTGGCCCCACATATTTTTTAATATATGCCTTATAGCAGAAATCCATGTACTGACTACTGAGAATATCAGCCAGTCTATATATATGTGTGTATGTGCGTGTGTGTGTGTGTGCGTGTGTGTGTGTATACAGATAAATTTTAGTCAGGTTTATTGAAGTATAATTTACAGAGAGTAAAATTTATTCATCTTACTGTATAGTTCCATGTATATAGACATTCTTGATAATTATTTTTTAATAGTTTTTTATATTATAGTAATTTTGTTATATATTTTGTTATATACTGTTATTATATATTATAGTAATGTTTATTATAGTAACTTTTGGTATTTTTCTATTTATAAATTATATATGTATGTATATGCATTACAGAAAAATTCATGTCAGTAAACAAAAAATCTGTAACCCTAATACCCATTAATCACACTTAATCCCTTCTATTTTTTTCTATAATACATTGTTTTTAAACATTTTTATAAAACCACTTAATGACTGTTTTTCAACTTAATATATCATGAATAACTTTCCATGGCAACAAGTATTCTTCAGAAGGTTCCAAACTCAAATGTCTTCAGGTACAAGCAAGTGATGTCAGCAAGTGAAGTGGGCTGAACCAGCCGGTAACTAGAGAACTGGAGGGTACACACTTGGTCTAGAGGGGCAGTTACTACTCAGCTTGTCTTATCGGGATGTAATTTTTCAGGAGATGTTGAAAATTATTATTTGTGAAAAATCTCCCAGTTTTTAAATGTTGGCAAGGAATTCAAAGTTTTAAAAATACTCTGCAAGCATAATAATATGTATCTGCTGGCTAGTGGGCTGCCAGTTTGCATCCTCTGATTAAGAATATAATTTGTAATGGCTGTCAAATGTCATAAGCATTGAAAACTTTTGATTTAGCCAAGTTGCCCTCCTGATGGTCCTATTTGCATGGATCCCAAGAATTTTTATAATCCACCACATTCTCCAACCTCTCCTCCAACAAACTCCCACCGCCACTATCACTCTACCCTGTTAGTTGCTACAAAGGCTTGAAGAAAAGACTGGAAAGGGAGTGGGACCTGGTGTTAATGACACCCTGTGACATTTGTACCACGAGGTCAGGATTTCAGGCAAATAGCACTCCCATCTGTGCAAAAGAGAGCTTCTGAAGGTCATCCAGCTCTGTTAGGCAACAGAACTTAGAATATTTTCCACCTCAGCACACGTATTGATTCTATATCTATTGAGAGAGCAATAGTGTGCTTTTTTAAGGCGTGTTCTTTGATGAAGAAATAATTGGCATGCATTTGGTTTCCATTTAACAAAAGGCAAATGAATGAGTTTTATGTTTGCATGGTCATACGCAAACTGGAAAGTCTAGTTAGCATACCAAATTATCCTGACATATTTATAAACACAGAAATAGTCATTGACGCCTTTTGGACAGAGTTCTTCTTGCCATGTCACAAGATGATGAAAATCTTTCTGTTTTCTGCCTTTCATGTTATTTTGCTCCAGAGATTTTTACTAAACACAATTAACTGAAATGCTTTAGCCTGGCTTCCCTTTTTTTCCTCTTTGCCTCTTTTTTTGGGTTTGTGGAATTGGGTGACTCTTCTGCAAAAAAATGAGCATCCGTTTCTTACAACAAATTACTGCAAGTACATTCCTTCGTTTGATATTTTCTCTTTCTACTCTGTTTTTTAGCTGGCTTTTGAAAATAGCTTAGCTGCTTAGGCAGTGAAGACATTATCTGAAGCTTACCAGGTGACTATAGTTTAACAAGGTCAAATTCCAATTTAGCAAATTTGCATTCTGCCAAAACAAATTTTCCTTGTGGTTTCAACACGAAATTTCTCTTAACTCTTCACAGGGTGGCTTCCCTGGATCCCCTTTTGCGGTGGCTTATTATCAGTAATGGGGCAACGTGATGTGTGCCTGAATTGATTTTGAAATCTTTGAAAAACGAGCATAAGCCTTGTGATTATTAGCCTACTATAACATTAGCCTAAAGTATAAATGGGCTTAAATGTTGCAGCTTTGAACTCTATTTTCAAAAGGAGCTTTGTTTTTCTAATTTATCTGTATTAATTGTATCTTTGTCAGGTTTATTACTGTGGAACAGAGTCCAGGGGTTCTGGCTGATTCATTCTATTCCCCGGTTTCCTCCAATTCCTGAAGAAGGCTATGATTATCCACCCACAGGAAGACGAAATGGACAAATTGGAATCTGTGTAACTTTCAAGTACAACCAATATGAAGCAATAGGTAACACTAGAGTGTGTACAAAAAGAGATAGCAATTTTGAAGAAGGGAAATGGAGATGCATTAACAAATTTATCACTTCACTTGTTTCTCTATTCGTAGACCCTCTGATACATACATTCTGTTATTGGCTTTGCCAGGTTTCCTGGCCCTCCCATGAAGTCTTTGAACTTGATCAGGGGCAGTAGTTTCTAATGTCTACAGGGGCCAGGCAGGTAACGAAAATGGGTGAAATAGACAGATGGACGTTTCATGGGCAGTGGGGACAGTGACAAACTGGGATGTTGATTCTCCCTAGCTAACCTCAAAAGCTTCAGCTCCATCGTATTGTGGCTCTGCAGGAGCACAGACTTAATGCTTACAGATCTCCATCTTTTTCCAGAGGAACCAGAAACCTAGGTTGTGTGTGTGTATGTGTGAGATAGAGAGAGAGAGAGAGAGATCCTGATTTTTAAATATGGTCTCAATCTCACTTAAAAAAATTGTGCAGACCTTATGTTGCCTATAGGTCACCAACCTCACTCCTCTGAGACAGATGATCTTCCTTTAAGATCTCAAGCTCAATGGCCCAAAATACTTGGATTTGGAAAATCACATTAGGGGAGGAGGAGAACATGATACACTGTTTTACCAATCACTTTTTACTGAGGAAGCTGCTAAATAGTGGTGAAGAGTGACTTGCCTCTAGATATAGGAAACAGAAAATATTTTTCATCAAATTTTCATCTTACGGCAAGGATTTCTGAACCAAGTCAAGCCCCAGTCTAACTAGTGGAGTTCATATAATTATTAGACAGCCAAATTCAGCATAGAGATTAGGTGTGCATACTGAGGAGATGATCTTTTTTTTTTTTTTTTGAGGAAGATTAGCCCTGAGCTAACTGCTGCCAATCCTCCTCTTTTTGCCAAGGAAGACTGGCCCTGAGCTAACATCCATGCCCATCTTCCTCCACTTTATATGCCGGACGCCTATCACAGCATAGCTTTTGCCAAGCAGTGTCATGTCCGTACCCGGGATCTGAACCTGCAAACCCTGGGCCGCTGAAGCAGAACATGCAAACTTAACCACTGCACCACCGGGCCGGCCCCGGAGCTGACCATTCTTGAAGCTGAATGGTTGCTGCATGGGAGTGCTCTACTTTTATATATGTGCATAGAGGAGAAAAGAACATGGTCTCCAAGGCCAGACTGCCTGGGTTTGAATATCAGCTTCATCAGTTACAATCCTGGGCATGGGACAAAAATTCTCTGTTAATTCATCTGTAAAATGAAGATAATGATGAACTTACCTAATAATAAGTTGTTCTGAGGATTAAATTAGTAAACACATGTAAAACTCATAGAACAATGCCTGGAAAGTAGGAAGTGCTCAATAGGTGTCAGCTACTTTAACCAAAAGTTATTTGAAGGTTATTAGCTTAATGAAGGGAATATTTTTGGTTTTGGTCTTTTTTTTTTTTCTGCTGAGGAAGATTAGCCCTGAGCTAACATTTGTGCCAATCCTCTCCACTTTATACATGGGTTGCTGCCACAGCATGGCAGTCGAGTGGTGTAGGTCCACACCTGGGATGTGAACCCGCAAACCTGGGCCACTGAAGCAGAGCATGCCAAACTTAACCATTACATCAGGGGCCAGCCCCTTGTTTGGTTTTTTAATTCACAACAAGGTCTATAATATCAACAAGGATTTCCATTTGGGTCTTAATTTTCAACTTTTCTTTATTGTTTTTTGATTCAGATTCTCAGCTGTTGGTCTGCAACCCAAACGTTTATAGCTGTTCCATCCCTACCATCTTTCACCAGGAGCTTGTTCACATGCCCCAGCTGTGCACCAGGTCTAGTGCATCCGAGATCCCTGGCCAGCACTTTGCCACACTGCAGTCAGCCCAGGGACAAAACTTCGTCCATTTTGCAAAGTCTGATTCTTTTCTTGACGGTACGAAAGACCATAAGTAAACAATATGCTATATAACTCTGCTGTTGGACTCACTTTGGATTGCTTAGAGGAAATATTCTGATCATTCAGGAGAAGACAAGTTGAAAAAGAGGGAGGAAAAAGGAAGGAAAGGGAGAAGGGAAGTCGAGGATCAATTCAAACATTCACCTGCTCCACTTAAATAGCAGGGTTGCTGATCTGACCACAAAAGTTATCTTACAACCATCCAGCCAGAGGCCAGTAAAAACACGGTCTCTAGCCCCTGTTGGGTGCAGGACCTCAGCTGACCCCTCTTCTTCCATTCTCCAAGCAGTTATTTTAAGCCTTCCTTACTCTCACAAACTTTACATTACCCTGCCTCCTCACTCTCAGCTTCACTATTTCCTTCACAGAGAGAACAGAGATCACCAGGGAGAAACCACTTCCATAGCACACAAAATAATCTTGTCTATTTCCATTCCTTCGTACTGGTTTTCTCCCATCCCAATGGAAGTAGGTCACCTCCTGTACCCTGGAGCCTATCCCAGCCTCAGAATACTTCAATTCATCCACCTGATCTGTTCTCTCTCTTCTACTTCAACCCTCCCACTCTACAAACTCTGTCCCCTTAGCAGTCAAACATGCCTAAAAACCCTCTCTCAATCCTAAATCCCCTATCTCTCTGTTTTTCCTTTTCTTCCATATTTCTTTTTAAAACTCTTCAGGGCCTTCACTTGCTCAATGCCCCTTCACTATATCCTTGCTTCTCTGTCTGTAGACACTCCAATCTCTCCCTAGGCACCAATGACTGTCTTAGTTGACCTTGCTGTTTCCTTCCTTGCTTGCTTCCTTCCTTCCTCTATACATTAAATAAAATGTACTGAATGCCTCAGAGTTGCCAAGCCCTGTGTTAGGCACTAGAGATCCAAAAATTAACAGGACAGAAATAGCCTCTGCAGAATTTGGCACTGTTGAAACCCTTTCCTTCCTGAAACACTCCCCTTCACTGATTTTTGGCAGTATACAGTCTCTTGGTCTTCCTGCCACATCTTGTAAGTCTATTCTGCCTGGTCCGCCTCCTCTGTCCACTCCTTAGGTGACTGGGTTGCCATGTGGGCCTATACTCTTCCTTATCTCATTCTATATACTCAGACTGGGCAATTCCAGCAAGCACTCAGGTGATTTCCAAGTCTGATCTCTATCTCACACCTCTGTGCGGACAGATGAGTGGGATATTTCTACTTGGAGGTGGCACAGTCACGCCAAATTCAACATTCCAAACTCATCATTATCTCCCACAAATCTACTCTTTTTCTACATAATCACCTGGGCAATCTAGATCCCTCCTTTTTCCTACCCCTCTATCAAATCATCTAAATCAATCAGTTCCAGGTCCTTAATAACTTTTATATTTATCCTATCCTCTCCAAACTCTGCCACCACCATAGTCCATGCCTGTGTTTACTATCACACTTATCCTGACAACCTGATGTTTTCCCTATCTCCAATCTAACGCACCCTTCCCAATTCATCCTGCATATTGCCTGGCAGTTGATATTTATGATTATAATCAGTTTCTATTAATCACCCACTAACATTCCTTTAAAAATTCCCCATTGATTTCAGGAAAATCCAAACATTCTAGCACGACTTGCAAAGATCCCAAGAAGCTAGGCCCTAGTTACTTCTCTAACCTTATTTTTTCCAAAGGTCTTTTCAGGACAAAAATATATATTGCTCCCTTGTTTGTGTGGAACAGAAGACATTTTCAGACACCAATATCATCATAGTAATGATGATAATAACTTTTATTTGCATATCACTTTAGCATGTCCAAAATGTTCTCCCATCCACTATCTCAATTATGTTGTTATTATTGTGCTTGTGACATCCACATATCAGGAGTGAATGATGATTTCCATTCCTGAGGATATTTTCAGGGACTTATCTAAGTATAAATACCAACCTCACTATCTTTCTCCTTATAACTCTAGACATCTTTGCAGCCTGGATGGCTCAATGGTTGAAGACTCACTTGCTAACAGAAACCTGGCAGCGGAAGAGACAAGAGCTTCCTTCAAACTGCTCCCTTCCTTACCATGTCTACAATATCAAAGCCATTAAAATTTCTAGACAATCTTATTTCAGTTCTCATCTGGATCACGCCAAATGGTGTATTTCCCAAAAGGGCACCAAAAATCGCTGGACATGTATTGGAGACTTAAATCGGAGCCCATATCAAGCCTTCAGAAGTGGAGGATTCATTTGTACCCAGAATCAGCTTATTTACCAAGCATTTCAAGGATTAGTTTTGTATTATGAGAAGTGTAACTGAACTTGGTGAAAGAACATGTACTATTGTTTTGAACATTGACAATGTCTTCTTCCATTAGATCCATTCTTTATATATTAAAAGGCTGTGAATGTACTTATAGTCCACATATCAAATAAAATGCTTTTCTCTCATGTTTACCATTTTATCTTCCAACTAGCGGCAATTTATCTAATTTGCATTTATATGCCATAAACATTAACTATTATATAACTAAAATGAGAATGGAAGGAATGAAAGAAAAAATATTTGTTCTAGATTAGTCAACTCTCAATTGTTCACGGATTGACTGGCCATCTCACAGATTAAATGTCATCTCCTTCACAGAGAATTCCCTGACTCTCCTCCCCACCATTTTGGTGGTAAAAAAAAAAATCTCTCTCTCTATACTTCATACTATCTAGTCATATTCCTCTTTAAGCTCTTTCTCACTGTTTAGCCTTGTCATTCTTGTAGCTGCTATTTACTAACTGTCTGATCTTGGGACATTCACTTGAACTCTCTGAGCCTTGGTTTTCTTATCTATGAAATGGATATAATATCTCAGTATGTTTGAGCACCTAGCACAGAGCCTGACATGGAGTTGACATTTAAAAATACTGGTGAAATTTGAATCTGAATCCCCTCATCCAGTGAGAAAAGACAAAAGAAAGTTGATAAATGAGTAATATGTTTTTAAAAATTTTTTGTCAGATTAGCAAACCCACAGCCAACATCATACTCAATGGGGAAAAAACTGAACACCATCCCTCTGAGAACAGGAATAAGACAAGGATGCCCACTATCACCACTCTTATTCAACATAGTACTGGAGGTTTTGGCCAGAGCTGTTAGGCAAGAGAAAGGAATAAAAGGAATCCAAATAGGGAGTGAAGAAGTGAAACTCTTGCTGTTTGCAGATGACATGATCTTATGTAAAGAAAACCCTAAATAATCCATCAGAAAACTATTAGAAATAATTAACAACTACAGTAAAGTTGCAGGGTACAAAATTAACTTACAAAAATCAGTTGCATTTCTAGACTCTAATAATGAACTTACAGAAAGAGAACTCAAGAATACAATACCATTTACAATCGCAACAAAAAGAATAAAGTATCTAGGAACAAATTTAACCAAGGAGGTGGAGGACTTATACAATGAAAACTATAAGACATTATTGAAAGAAATATATAATGACATAAAGAGATGGAAAGAGATTCCATGCACACGGATTGGAAGAATAAACATAGTTAAAATGTCCATACTGCCCGAAGCAATCTACAGATTCAATGCAATCCCAATCAGAATCCCAATGACATTCTTCATGGAAATAGAACAAATAATCCTAAAATTCACATATGGCAACCAAAGACCCCGAATTGCTAAAGCAATACTGAGAAAAAAGAACAAAGCTGGGGGCATCACAATTCCTGACTTCAAAATGTACTACAAAGCCATAGTAATCAAAACAGCACGGTACTGGTACAAAAACAGGCACACAGATCAATGGAACACAACTGAAAGCCCAGAAATAAAACTGCACATATACAGAAAGCTAATCTTCGACAAAGGAGCCAAGAACATACAAGGAGCAAAAGATACTCTCTTAAATAAATGGTGTTGGGAAAACTGGACAGCCGCTTGCAAAAGAATGAAAGTAGACCATTATCTCACGCCATATACAAAAATAAACTCAAAATGGATCAAAGACTTGAAGTTAAGTCCTGAAACCATAAAACTCCTGGAAGATAATATAGGTAGTGCACTCTTTGACATCGAACTTAAAAGGATCTCTTGGTATACCATGCCTTCTCAGACAAGGGAAACAAAAGAAAAAATAAACAAATGGGACTTCATCAGACTAGAGAGCTTCTGCAAGGCAAAAGAAACTAGGATCAAAATAAAAAGACAACCCACCAATTGGCAGACAATATTTGCAAATCATATATCTGATAAGGGGTTAATCTCCATAATGTATAAGGAACTCACACAACTGAACAAGAAAAAAACAAACAGCCCGATCAAAAAATGGGCAGAGGATATGAACATTTTTCCAAAGAAGATATACAGATGTCCAATAAACACATGAAAAGATGTTCAACATCACTAATCATCAGGGAAATGCAAATCAAAACTACACTAAGATACCACCTTATGCCTGTCAAAATGGCTATAATCACTAAGACTGAAAATAACATGTTGGAGAGGGTGTGGAGAAAGGGAACCCTCATACACGGCTGGTGGGAATGCAAACTGGTGCAGCCACTATGGTAAACAGTATGGAGATTCCTCAAAAAACTAAAAACAGAACTACCATATGACCCAGCTATCCCACTACTGGGTGTCTACCCAAACAACTTGAAATCAACAAGCCAAAGTAACAGATGCACCCCTATGTTCATTGCAGCACTATTCACAATAGCCAAGACATGGAAACAATCCAAGTGCCCATAGACGGATGCTTGGATAAAGAAGATGTGTTATATATATATATATATACAATGAAATACTAATTGGCCATAAAAAAAGAGAAAATCATCCCATTTGCAATAACCTGGATGGACCTGGAGGGAATTGTGCTAAGTGAAATAAGCCAGACAGAGAAAGACCACATGAAACACCACATGATTTCACTCATATGTGGAAGATAAGCAAACACATGGACAAAGAAAACAGTTCAGTGGTTACCAGGGGAAGGGGGTAGAGGGTGGGCACAGGGGGTGAAGGGGAGCACTTTGAGGTGACAGACAAGAAATAATGTACAACTGAAATTTCACAATGATATAAACTATTATGAACTCAATAAAAAAATTTGTCAGATTAGGATAAAGAAATAAAATAGTTTAAGTGCAGCCCATTAACTTAGGGGAAATAAAGAAGTGTAACATAAACAAACCAGAATCAAACCTAGTAATCTGAATTCCAGTATGTTTCATTTTCTGGAGTTCTTATCACCAAACATAACTATTATATAAACGAATAATAAATTTGTATTAAGTACTAATTTCTTAATAAAGTTTGAGATATAGTTCTCAATTTCAAAAAGCTCACAATCTAGCAAAAGTAATTATAATAATAACTAGAACTAGTACTTAGTATTTACTACGTAGTAAACATTCAACCCACATTTTCTCATTTAATCTTCATAACAATGCTATATAGTAGGAACTATTATCCTCATTTTGATGACAAGGAAACTGAGGCCTACAGAGTTTCAGTAACTTGTGCAGTATCATAGAGGTCTATCTGACTTCTAAGACTATGCTCTTAACTTCTGTTCCAAGAAACGATAAAAGAAAATGATGCAATATAGGATAATAGATATCTTGATATCTCAATACCAACCAAAACTCATGGGACCTAATGGTACTGGTTCAATGACTAGCAGAGAAAAAGCTAAGTTTATCTTCCTGTCAGAAGTAAGCATGAGTTATGGGTATGGCGAATACTAACTAGCTAACTTGCATGCTTGAAAATAGGAAGAAGCTTGAAAAATGTGTTTTAGCCTCTCCAAGAGCATCTGAACATAAATAATTCCAATAAAATAGAATTAAAAGAGAGAAACTTAAAAGTATAAAATCCTGACTTTAAAGGTGAAGAGGTTCAAAACTTGATCCACTAGTCTAGAGAAGAATGAATGAAAATGAAAAAGAGAAAGCAAACGTGAAGAAATTCTATTGGCCTAAAAATACACAATACATATGAGCCTCCTCCCCTAAAAGATAAATCCATACCTTCTAGAAAAGTGCTTTCACACCAAGCTCAATAGAGCAGTCTGAAGAGAAGAGAATTAAGATCAAAAATCCATAGAATAAAGAGTAGGAATGTGACAGAGAGATGCTGGCCCACTGGAGAGGTACCTTAAGGATGTGGTTCCTGCTAAAGCAGAGATGGAATGTGGTTAGACACCCCTTGAGGAAGAAAAAGATGCTGGCAAGGAGTTGAATAGCCCTGGTAGTTCAAGGATACCTAATACTGACCCTGGGAGGAAGGAATACATGTTGGTGTTGGTAGTTCCGTGTGGTGGAGCTTAGAGGCAGCCACAATAAATCAAAGTGCAGTAGTATTGCTGCCTTTCTTAAGCATAGGCCCAGGAATGCTACCCAGTGATTTGGAGAATTATGGAGAAAATAAATTAAAAACAGAAATAAACCTATGGTACTAATTAGAGCGGAGGATGGCAGTTCCAACATGGAAATTCCAAATCATTTATGCTATGCCCTCACACCCTTCTTAGAAAAGCTATTTTCCACAATCTGTTGGTATCTGATCCTTTCCTCTCCAGCTCCAAATAACTGGACCAAGAATAGGCTTGTGACACCAAAGAAAATAAGCCATAGGCAAAGCCAAGGCAATCAGATTTGGGGGAGAGTTTAAAACAGGAGTACCAAGACTGAGTTTTGGGATTAGGGTACTTGATCTGGAGGGTCATGTCCATTGGAGATAATATCACCATTTTCTGCCTTGTGTACAGTGAAGCATAGAATGCTGGGCTGCAGAAGCTGGAGAACAGTGCAAACGTACCATGAGATCAAAGGAGCATATATAGAGTGATATCAATTGCTAACTGTTCAGATGTTAGTTGAGTTCCTTGTAGAGCCAAGCTATTCTCTCTGGTCACATAAATGACATACCCTATATTCTTTCATTAAATGCCCATTTTTAGGTTAAGTTAGTTTGAGCAGGTTTCTTGCAAGCAAACAATTCTTGTCTAAATCATGTAGAAACAAGAACGACAGTGTGAGTGTGGTGCCAAATAATTTGAATTCAAATAATAATTGAGAAATGGGTCATAAACAATTCTCACAGTCTCACACTCTCAGGTGTTTTAGATACCAACACAGAATATGAGTTAAAAAGAAAGTAAACTTGAGTTTGTAGCATAGCATGGTAAATATACTTCACAGGAGCAATAGGAAGGACTTGGTGGGATGGACTAAGAAAGAGTAATGATAGAGCTTCAAATATTCAGATATTTACTAAGGGTCTCATTCAGCTAAAATAATTCTTGATTAACTTTTGGCTTAACACACTAACAATTTCATCTCCCAAAGAGTAGACGAAATGACTAGAACCTAAGAGTTGCAAACAAGGAGGAGTTGTTGGTGAAATGGAAGTAATGGTGCCCAAGGAGGAAGATGTCCCTAGATGATCATTAGGGAAAGAAAAGTTGAATATAGCCCAAGTTCAGAAAGTCTGAGATTGAGGTACAAAAGAAAATATGATTCCATGGCAGAAGACTCTTAAAAGGACTGCAGCTCAAGAGGTTTAGAAGTCATCAGAAATAAAATTCTGACTATGCGCTTTCTCTCTGAGGAACAAGGGGAAAAAGGTGTAGAGAAAGCAAGGTAACTACACCTGCTTTCCCATGAGCTCATATATAACTTAGGTGCACACAAAGTGTGGGAGAAAAAGGACAATGAACAAAGAAGAATAAAAGAATGGCACCAACATGTATACAGAACTGTATGAAACCACAATGGCTACTTGTTACAAAAATGAAGGTTAATGAAAAATGTTTTATATTTATTTTTGGATCAGGATTACACTGGAACTAATAGTAGTTGTGAATGCCAAAAAAAAAGCTTTTCTTTTTTATTTCTGTCTTTTCAGTAAAGATGAATGGTATTCAAACTAATAAGGTAGAAAAAAATGGTCAGAGAGACCTAAATCCAAGACCACTGCAAAACAATTTTAAAAGGGCACACAGCT